GCTTCTTGCCATTATCTTTTTTAATAATAATTTTTTTCAATTAATAGTTTTCCAATTTGTGCGGAACAGTGTATACTCAAGGAAACTTGTGTTTTACACCAGATGGAAATTCTTTATTAAGCCCAGTTGGTAATAGAGTTTCGTTGTTTGATCTTGTAAAGTAAGTTGTTGTTTTATTATTTGAGCGGTCAGAATTCCTACCTGTATAATATTAATTTAAATGATCTTTTCCATTAAATATCATATTAATATTAATGCTGTAGTAATAAATCATTTACATTTCCATTTGAAAATTTAAAAAACATTTATCGAATTGCTTTATCTCCACAAGCTACCTTATTACTTTCTATTGATGAAGGTAAAAGAATCGTTATTAATAAATTTTAAAAGAATTTCTTTTGATCGATTGATTAAATATTTTTTTTCTATACCATAAGATGGTAGAGTATTATTAGTAAATTTTCAAAGACGAATTGTTTTAAATCAATTCAATTTCAAAGAAAGAGTTGAAGATGTGCAATTTACCCCGGATGGAAAGTAATACCCTCTTTTTTTTAACTTTACACAAAAGATAATTTATATATACAATTTCTATGAAAAATTTTTCTAATTATTTATTATTATTATTTTAATTAGATATTTTGCAATAACACATGGTAAACATATTCAAGTATGGAAATCACCAGGATTTAATCGCGAATACGCACCCTTTATAATGCACAGGAAATATACAGGACATTATGATGATGTTACTTCAATAACTTGGTCTAATGATAGTTGGTATGAAAAATTTACATTCTGTATATAATATAAATATGCTATGGAAAAACCTCAGACAAGAGTTTTGTATAAAAAATAATGAAAATGATATGTAATAATAAAAGGAATTGATTCTTTGAAAAGCTTTTTCTTATCGGCTTCAAAAGACATGACTGCAAAAATTTATTCTTTAAATCCTATTGAAGACTTTATTCCCATCACATTGACTGGTCATAGAGATTATGTTATTGGTGCATATTTTTCTGAAAATCAGGATTTGGTAAGTTAATTTAATTATATATTAAAAAAAAATATTGCTAATAATAATAATAATAATAACTGATAAAAGTTTTATATATACAAATTGATTATTTTGAAACTGAATTATGTTAATAGATATATACAGTTAGTAGAGACGGTTCACTTTTCATTTGGAAGTATACTTCATCAATAAAAAAAGCAGATGGTGAAGGAGAAGACGATGAAATGGATGTGGATGCAGATGCAGATGATCAAAAGAAAAGATGGATGATCTCATCACGTCATTATTTCAATCAATCCAATACAAAAGTTGCATGTTCTGCTTATCATAAAAAATCAAGTTTATTGGTTGTTGGGTTTTTATCAGGAATTTTTGGAATTTGGGAAATGCCGGATTTTAACAATATTCATACACTAAGCATCTCTCAAAAAAAAATAAATTCCATTGCAATCAATCCAACCTGTGAATGGTTGGCATTTGGATCTTCGAAATTGGGCCAACTTTTAGTATGGGAATGGCAATCTGAGTCATATGTGTTAAAACAACAAGGACATTTCTATGATATGAATACATTATCATACTCGTCCGATGGACAAAATATAGTAACTGGCGGTGATGATGGTAAAGTTAAAGTGTGGAATACAACATCAGGATTTTGTTATGTGACATTTTCTGATCATACTTCTGGAGTAAGCGTAGTTGAATTTGCAAAAAATGGTCAAATTTTGTTTTCAGCATCATTGGATGGGACGGTTCGAGCGTATGATTTGATTCGATATAGGAATTTTAGAACTTTTACCACACCATCTCCTGTTCAATTTACTGCTTTGACAGTTGATCCAAGCGGAGAAATTGTTTGTGCAGGATCTATGGATTCGTTTGAAATTTTTGTATGGTCAGTTCAAACTGGTAAATTGTTGGATATTTTGGCAGGTCATGAAGGACCTATAAGTAGTTTGACATTCAATCCATCTGGTGTAACATTAGCTTCTGGTTCGTGGGATGCCAGTGTAAAGGTCTGGGATGTGTTTGGACGTAGTAAAAATGTGGAAACTTTTAAAAATAGTTCAGATGTGTTAGCAATAGCATTTAGTCCAGACGGGAAACAATTGGCAGTTTCTACATTGGATGGACAGATTACTTTCTGGGATGTAGAGAATGGAAATCCAACAGGAACTATAGAAGGTCGTAAGGATATTTCGGGGGGTAGAAAAGCTGAAGATCGGGTCACAGCAGCAAACTCTTCTTCAGGGAAATCTTTTAATAGTATGTGTTATACAGCAGATGGATCATGCATTATTGCAGGTGGAAATAGTAAATATATTTGTTTATACGATGTAAAGGGCCAACTGTTATTACGAAAATTTCAGATTTCACACAATTTATCATTAGATGGTATACAAGAATTTCTTAACAGCAAAAATATGACAGAGGCAGGACCTTTAAATTTGATTGACGAGACAGGCAATTTAAGTGATTTGGAGGATAGGTTAGATGTGAGTTTACCAGGTACCCAAAAAGGTGACTTATCAGCTCGAAAAACTCTACCTGAGATTCGTTCCAAATCCATAAAATTTTCACCAACAGGTAGAACATGGGCAGCAGCAACGACTGAAGGTCTACTGATATATTCATTAGATGAAACATTATTGTTTGATCCATTTGATCTTGAAATAGATATTACACCTTTTTCAGTATTGGAAACATTAAAATCAAAAGAGTATTTGAAGGCGCTTGTGATGGCTTTTCGATTGAATGAGTTGTACATAATTCATCAAGTTTATGAGAGTGTCCCACCTGATAGCATTGAATTTATTGTTAAAGATTTATCAGAAAAATATATTGACAAATTGATTAAATTTATTGCTACCCATATGGAAGAATCACCTCATATAGAATTTCATTTACGTTGGGTCACTAAAATATTAACTATTCATGGAAAATATTTGAGACAACATTCCAATGAATACTCTAGTATTTTAAGACTATTGCAAAAATCAGTTGGAACATTTCAAGAAGATTTAGCAAAAGTGTAAGTTATATATGTATATATATATATTTGTTTCTTTATTGATAACAATTATTGAAAAACTGATTGTTATTTTAACAAACAATTTATAGATGCGATGATAATAAATATATGATAAAATATCTTTTAAGTGTTATTGAAAAAAAGAAAGAAGGAAGGAAGGAAAACTTGAACGAGATGTCAATTTAAAAATAATCTAGATTGATATATATATATATATATACATATATATATAGTATATATTAATATTAGTAAAGATTTATTTATTATTTCTACTTTATTTTTTTAATCCATTATGATTTTACATTTAATATTATTAATTCAAATCAAGTTTTCCAGAAAATTCTGTTAATACAATTAATTATAATTCATTCTCTCTAGTCCTATATGTATTTTTACTTGGTATTCGTTATAGAAAGGCCCGTCATAATGTAATGGTAGTACCGTTAATATTTCCGTCTTCATTTTCATTAGTATTAGTATTAATAATTCCCAAATTGTAACATAAATCACCTTTTGGTTTTCTTGTGTTTGTAAATTCTAAAACATGACCAATAGGTGAAGCATCAAGAGAAAATTATCATCTGGAATCAATGTTACAAATTCATTGTGTCAGTTTGGTTTGATAAATGTGGTGGTGTAGATAGTAGAGTTGTTGATGTTGCTGATAAACTTTAGAAATTAGCAATAAATGAAACAAACAATCATATGCCACTATTTCATCTGGTTCTAAGTCTTGATAAATTTTGTAGCATTTGGAATTTTGAAAAAAAAGTCCATCGGGCCGCAGGCTGCCAAAATCGAAGTTTATATTTTAGGAATTCCAAGTGCGCTACCATCCACATACAAGTATTATTGGTCGATTGATTGGTCAATAGATAAAGTTGAACTTTCATTAATATACGGGGGTGTTTAAACCCGATAGTTCCGTGACAGTCAATGATTCCATAAAACAAGAGGCTATAATTTTTTCAATTTCCTTGTCTGTTGTGTCAAGTTACAATTTTTAAAACTTCAACATTGTTTTTCAGCCAAAACGCGCCCTTCAACTGTTAATTTTCAGCATTTCTTTATGCCTTTTTTGTTTATATTATTAAAAATACTTTTATCGTTAAAATATGACAACTTTGATTTGATCGATATCATGTCTGTATCTTTTAAATCAGAATATTAATCGTCTTGGATTCTTCCAATTATCCAATTAATTACATGGATCTTTTTTTGACAGCCAGCATATAATAATAATTTCAAAGTTGATCAGGGAAAAAATTACGACAGACAGTATAGCATATGACTTTGAATTCAACTAAACCGAATCAAGTTAGTGAAACTACGGTTATACAAAAAAAAAAAAAAAGACTATTTCCTGATCTTTCTATTAAAGGTTTATAAAATAAGGCGTAGATATGCTAGTAAAATTATAAATGGATGGATGTTACATGACGTATATATAGAATATTGGAATTGGAAAATTTGGAACAATTTAAATTTAATTTACTATATCTTTCAAAGTGGTGGCTCCCTAAATTGTATCTTCCGAGAAAGTTATACAGTTGTTTTCCAAACATATGGGTGATTTTTGTTATCATTAATTAAGAGCAAGTGTCTTCAATAAAGCCTTATAAATAAAAAAATTTTTTGAATTGTCATTATAATGATGATGGTAAATAGGTTCGTTTTGATGAGAACTTTTTGAAAATTCAAAACATTTTTAATCTTACATTACGTAAAAATATATTTATAATAATGTGTGACAAATTGATGTGCGTGACAAATTAGTGATTCAAATCTTGAGATTTTTTTTTGTGTAAAAAAAAAATTGGCAAATAATTACTTTTTTTTTTAACAAAAAAAAAAGAATTAAATTTTTTGAAAGGATTCAAGGCGCGACAATCCAAGTTTAAGATTGTCACCTTGTGTATCCATCCACCTATCCATCAAATTATAGTTATGGCAAGTCTAGCAAGTCGGAATATTTTTGCTCTTCTTGGTGATGACGAAGATCTCGAGAGAGTTGAAAAAACCAGTGAAACTGCGACAACCCCTCAAAATGAAACTGTGTTAGTTCAAAAACAGGTTGACAGGTCTCGTGCAAGTAAAAAAGAAGCAAGAATTAAACATGATTATCCTCAACGTGGAGGTTTTAAAAATAGTGCTCCTAGAGGAAATGATGATAATAGATCGGGTAAATACTTGTGCATGTATATAATTAATATATATTGATATTTGATTTATGGAATAAATGAATTCAATATATATAAAAAAATTTGTTATATTTATTACTATTAAAAAAAACTTCATTAAAAAAAGGGCCTCGTGATCTTAATGTAGGACCTCGTCTTCTTCCTGGTCGTCATGAAGAAAATGATACCAATAATTATAATTATAATAGTAACAGAGATTACCCATCAAGAAGTTCGCGTGGTGCCCGCCCTGGTGAAAGGGGCAGAGGTGGTCGTCGTGATGGAGGAGGAAGAGGTGGTCGTGAATATGATAGACATAGTGCTTCTGGAAGATAGTATGCAATATAAATATATTTCAATCTATATATTTCGTATGCTTATATATCTAACCAACATCATCATGAATATTTAATTATATAGTGATAGTGAAAAAAAAGAAAATCAAGGCTGGGGGTCCAATAATGCTGATTGGGAAGATAAAAATAAAACAAATAACAATGTCCAAATCGATAATAATGTCAATAACAATTCTAATTGGGAATCTAGTAATAATGGCATTACTGCTGATGATAGTAACGCTGAATCCCAAGAACAAACAAATAATTGGGGAGCAAATGGTGAAAGTGGCTCAGGTAAAGTAGAAGATCAACCGTGGGAAATTAAAGAAAGTACTGAAGCTGATGATGCGAAAGGTGAAAATATCGGTGACGACGAGGCTGCCGCCAAACCTATCGAACCTGAAGAAATCGTTAAAACACTAGAAGAATATTTATCTGAAAAAGCTCAAAAGACTCTTGACATTTCACTTCCTGAAGCAAGAAAACCAAACGAAGGTGTTGACGATAGTCAATGGAAAGATGCTGTACCTCTTGAAAAGAAAGAAGAAGAGGATATTTTATTCTCTGGAAAGGTGGAAATATTTTTTATATGTATGATTTTATATGATCAAAATAATTTTTAACCCGGTTATTTATTCTTTAAAAAAATAATTAATAATAATAGGAACAATCTTTTAAAACCAAGAGTAAGAATAAAAAGTCAAAAAATTATTTGGAAATTAAACCAACTTTTGATAAACCTGGAGGTTTTCAACGCGGAGGAGGTGGTCGCGGTCGTGGTGGTGGAAGAGGTGGTGGTGGTGGTGGTGGTGGTGGTGGTGGCGGCGGCGAAAGAAATTATGATAATCGTGATAATCGTCGAGGTGGTGGTGGTGGTGGTGGTGGCGGCGACAGAAGTTATGATAATCGTCGAGGCGGCGGTGGCGGCGAGAGAAGTTATGATGATCATAATAATCGTCGTCGTGGTGGAGATGGCGGTGGCAGCCGTAATAAATACGTTAATATTGATGATCAAAGAGCATTTCCAAGCCTTGGTAATCCTGTGCAGTTGTAGTTTCAAATTTATGAAATTTATTATCAAATGAACAATTATTGTTAATTTTTTTCAATCAATTATATATTTATTATTGTTATTATTATTATCTAATTGGTTGGACATTATATATTTACATATTTTATTATATATTATACATATATTTACATATACATTGTTTTTTTGTTCAATATATCACATCATCATCATTATTATTGCATGTATGATTTCAAATTTGGTATCAACAGAAATAAAAAAAAAATTTTGGTGCTTTGGTAATTTTGGTTACTCATCAATCGATCTTTATATCAATATCATTATATGATTTACAATTGAACAAAATGGGTTAGTTCTTTTTACCAGAAGATTGATGTAAAGAAATTTTATGTGATGTAGTTTTATTATGATATTCTAGCTATTCAAGGTGTTTTTTTTTAATTATTTAAAATTTGACATGGCATTTTTATGACATCTCATTTCTAAATTCAACTTGCTAATTTAATTAATTTTTTGCTTATAACTTTATTCATTAATTAAGTAATATGGAGTAGTTAATATTTAAAAAAAATAAAAATAAAAAATAAGAAAATAAAAACGAAAGTGCACGATAATGAATGAATGAAGAAAAAAAAAAAAAGAAAATATATATATATAATAGTATAATTCTAGACTGATTATATAATATTCACCCCTAAGAAGAATGATTAAATCTAATTCGAAGAATAAAATGAAGAAATGATAACAACATCATAATAATAGTAATAATTTTTGTTGTTAAGAATCAGCAACAATAATAATTACAATAGAATGTGTGAGAGAAAGATACGACTACTCCATAATTTCATATGATTTTAAAATGTTCAAATCAAAGACCCTTTTTTAATATAGTTAATTATAATTTAAATTATAATTATTATGGTTGTTGTTATTTAACTTCTGTGAATGGAAGGGGGAGCAAAGGTCAAACGTTGTTCATAAAATTTAATCATCTACATGGAAGAAATTTTATTAAAGTTTCATTATTCATATTATTCATTTAATATTTCTTAAATCTTTATAAATAATCAATTTTACCTTTTGAGGACATTTCATATTTGCTTCTTTAGCTGGATTTCTTGAAGTTCTACCATCAGCCCTAATTAATATTAATATTTAAAGTAGATTATATTATTCTTAATACCAACTATGATATCATATATCATAGATCAACAATAGTCATTAATATTATTATTAATTTACCATCTTAAATAAACCAATAATTCTCCAGTTTTTTCATCACGAGTGACGGTTTCAACTGCAACAATTTCTTCCTCCCAGCATTCAGAATCATCATCATCAAGACTCTCTTTTATTATAGTTTTAGTTGTTTTTGCTTTTTTGGGACTTCGTTGGCTTTTAGTTTCCTGTTTAGCAGAAGGAGATGATGTGGATAGTCTTTTTTTACCTTTTGGGGCTGTGACTGTTGAACTCTTGGAGCTTGCAGCTGCTACTGTACTCTTAGAACTTGTGGCTGCTGCTGTAGTTTTAGAACTTGCTGAACTTTGTGCACTTTTAGAAGCCTTTGATGGATCTTGGAGTTTATCCCAATATTCTTTTACAAGAGCTTCAGCAAAGCTTTAATGTATGTATGTGTATATATAAATATGTTTGAATAGGTTTTACTATGAGATTCATTGCATGATAACAAAGCTTTAACTTAATTATTTTAATTATTTTTGAATAATAGTTACACATTGTCTTCGTTTTCCCAAGTTGCCTCATCTTCAGAATAACCTATAACATATAAAGATATTTAAATTAATATATACATATTATATAAAAATCAAGATATTATAGTCTTCTTTTTTCTATTAAAATAATTATATTATTATTAATAAGTAATACCTTTCCATTTGATAAGATACTTTGTTTTGCCCTAAAATTATAAGATTTTATAAAATTATTAACTTGAGATTATTTTTTAAAAAAATATCATTTCAATTTTTTAAAAAAAGATCAGATACTTTATATTTTTTATGACTAATAACTTCCTCAACTTCATATTCTTCTTCATCCTCCTCTTCCTCCTCTTCCTCTTCCTCCTCTTCCTCCTCTTCCTCTTTAATCACTTCAGTACCTTCAATTTCAGAAGGTTCTTCATGCTCTTTATTTTCTACTTTATTATCTCCTGAAGTTAAGGAATTATCTTTTCTTTGATCTGATGAATTTGTCCCATTTTGTTCAGTGTCACCATCAGCAGCATTAGGTTCTACTTCGCCATTATAATTTATAATTTCATCAACAAATTCATTTTCTAATTCTTCTGTAGATTTATTTGTCATTTTTTTCTTATACATATATTTAATTAAATAATTTAATTAAATCCAAGATATCTAATTTGCTTAAATATCTTCAAAGAATTTGTGTATTGAACACTATGATTTTGTGATAAAAAAAAGAGCAAATAATAAATTTCAATGATATTGATTGAAGTATATTATATTACCAAAGCAAACAAATAAAAACATAAACTTTTACCTCTTTAAGTTATATTTATATAATATTAATATTATGACTATAATATTAATAGTTATTATGAATTTTTTATATTGAAGAAAAAAAAAGATGCTTCAAAGAAAAAATTGTAAATAAACACAGTAATTTTAAAATACTTCAATTTTATTGGTGATTAGTTTCAATATCACGTGAATAAAAATAAGCAATCAAGGGGGAGATTGTTAAAAAGAAAAAATAATTGCTTTACGTACTAACTTTTTTAGTTTTCTATTTTCTATTTATTTATTTGTTAGGGATTAATCGATTTGGTCAAGAATTGAGCTTTCGTAAATCGAGATTTGTGGGGAAAGAGGAGAAGAATATTTTTTCAAAAAGACATTTTCGGATTTGATCGTATCATGAATATTTTAGCACCAGGATATCTCAGAATTAACTTTTTTTTAGAATCAATCATAGGTATTTGTTTGATAAAAATGCGTAATTATGGTGTAATTTAACCAGCACTGATATTATATCACTTAACTAGCCTAGTAACTGGACTTGTCTAATGTTTCTAATGAAAAAGCGAACATGTTCGCTTACTTTAGATCATGCAATTGCCTGCGGTGCTACTTGGAATCTACTACTTTCGGCACAGTAACTATCCCATATGTGCATTATATAATCCAGGATTCTAATGATATATTTTTTACCATGTCAAACTCATTATATAACATCATTAAGAAGTTTTGAAATACGTGTTAGATAGAAATTTAATTATCCACAAAAGTTTACTTGGAACCAAAGTATTTTTATTAAATATAAAAATATTTTGTTTACTTTTCCTTTATTTCTTTATTCCTATGATAATAATTCTTTATTTCGTCTATTTGCGTGCCTGTTGATTTATCATCAATTGAGACAAGAGGAACAAGTATTATAGCCTTTTCTTTGAGAATAGTGGTTCTTCTTTTTTTGATTCTCCAGGACCTAATAGTAAATCATTATTAGTATTGGAATTATTTTCAGACAAAGAAGCAAAAGAGTCATAGATGACTTTGATGATTTCTTCAACAGCAGGAAGGAACACTGGTTGTTGGGTTGAGTGATGTTTTAAATCTTGTAATTTTTCATCTGGATATGTATGAGCATTTCTTGATATTCTTCCGGTTGTGGTTTTTTTTTAATTTATAAACTTCTTATCTCAATAAAACCCTCATTCTTTTTTACCTATAAAATTACAAATGTCATTTTAAAAAGTCTTCAAATAAATCTAGTGATTTACTGAAATCTAATATATTGAATAAGAAAATCATTATTATAATTTAATAATCATTTAAAAACAATTCTTTCGTGTACGGATGAAAGATAACTAGAAAACTGACTTAACTGAAATTTACATTTGGAATCGCATTCATTGAATATTATAGAGTGAGAGAATTAAGAATATTAACTAGACCGAGAGAGGATGCGTTGCATTTGGCTGAAAATTATGTGCTCAGCAATCGTTAATATTGTGTTCTTTATAATAAAATATTAATTGCTATATCTTCATATGAATATGATTCAACAAATTTACTGAAAACGCTCCAATATTTATCCGGGACACAATCACGGTATGTTGTAAGTAAAGCAAACGTACTGTAATAATAATCTTATTAAAATAATTTCCTCTTAATAATGACATTAGCACAGCAACAGCTTGGGTTCCATAGCCACACAATTCAAATTAATATGATGTTTTAATTGTATCATCTTTAAATACTTTACTAGCTACATCAATTCTAATGTCGACAAACAAAACGAGTGCATCAATAATTAAATTGGTGTAGAATTCTATTTTGATGGAAGGAAAAATGTCAAATGAACTAACGCAATTTTAGTGAAAAAGTCTTGATGGCAAATATGTCTTCTAAGCAAACGCATCCCCTTTCTTACGTTCATACTTGGCCCTTTTAATGATTGCATTCAAATATTTGGTTTTACCATTGTTATTCAATAGATTATAAATCTTCCGCTCCTCCAAGTTCAAACTATTGTATATCTTCTGTAGTTCCGGTGGAGGCATTTCATTAGTATTCGTTCGGCTGATTCGACACCTGAATGATAATGCTGGTCGTTAATAAACTTAATTAGATCGAAAAACTGTTACGTTCCATACAATCTTACCTTCTGTATTGTTAGGAATCTTGCTTGATAGAAACATCAAATGATGATCACATGACCACGACTTAACCAATATTCAAACTCTGACACGTAACAATCATAATCATTATGAATCATGGTCCAACTTTGAACTAGACACACACAAAAATTATTGCTTGAAACTTTATTAGGCCTCGTGTCTTACGTGTAAGAACAAAAGCGTTTTGAAACATTAACATCAACACCGATACCTGCGGCTAATTATATTGCATACAAATATAACTATATTTTAAGAATATTCTCATCGTTCAAATACAATTTACTATATTGATATAAAACATCATATCCGTAACTTCTGGATAACTGACTATACCGTTCCCATCCTCAAATTCTTGAACTGAATTTCCTGTGGTTATCTTTTGGATCAATAAGATAGTTGTAATTTGTTTGACCTGGAATTTTTTTGATGATTTTTTTTGTATAATAAATAATTTATTTTCGATCTAAACGTTAATTCTTGTAAAAAATTATATACATGTGCATTTATCATCAATACGTCAATACATTTCTATTTTAAGGTTTTTTTAATGAAAATACTCAAAAAATAATACAAAGTATGATATAAAAAGAAAGTGATGATAAACCTTAAATATATTGATTACTTATTACTAACATTTGTCAAATACATCTCCAGCAAGACAAAAACAAATACGCCACAAGTAAATGTTGACTTGTTGGTAATTAATTGAGTCCATATTCTTTGGGGAGATAACTGGTTTATCATTCAAATGTTATACATAATTGTCACCAAAACATATATTTTGAGGTATAAGATCCTGACTAGGAAAGATAATTATAAAGTATGGCCATTCATTGAACAACAATAAAATAAAATAATACTTCTCTATTTTATAATATGGCCCAAGCTTCTACAGGATCTTCACTTGATGTTGAGCTTGGACGAATGAGTGAGTGAACAGCCTCCTCAATCCCTAGCCATAAATTAAATAGTATTTACCCAATTTAACTTTGTCCCCAGTTATTGGATAAGTAAGAATTCACCTATCTTGAATATTTTATTGAACGTATTTTTGCAAAGCCCCTGTTAGAAAAAAATTTTAGTCAATAGATTATATTACATTACCTTGCAAATATATGAAACAAGCATTACCTTATAGATAACGTAAAAAGTATTTGTTGCTGCAATTGTTTGTATGTGTGTAGAATCTATAACTGAAAGATAACAATGTTCTGTGTACTCATTTCCATTATTATATAATAATGACACATCATTAGTACACCTTTGCATTCCTAAAGTACAGCTTAAAGCCTGCTTGTTTTGTTTTCCTTGATGTGACAAAACCATATTGCACATGGGTAGAATTCGTAACTTTACCTACGGAACTTGCAACATGTATATGACTTCAAACTATCTGTTTAGGTTAACTTTCTTTATTAACAAACTCAACTTGAAATTACACGATTAAATAGCCTTAATGTATAACATATATATAAAGTTTCGTGCAAGCTTCGCAATTTTATACAGAGTTTTGCTTTTAAAAATTGGCTTTGCAATTCGTTCGTTGTCGTGAGTTGAAAGAACTTATTGGAGTAAAAGGTAAGCAAGGATTTGAAGATTTTATTTCGCAAAATTCTTCATTAAAGTGAAATAGGTCAGACAGAAATTCCAAAATTGTATTTATTCTCTGCAAAGCAGAAAATTAAAAACTGTTAATGTAAAAGCATGCCCACATTTAGATTCATTCACTTGTGATTCATCGTCATCAATTAACTGCTATAACTAATTAAATCACTTTATTGCAGTATTTATAATCTAGCATCTGTTATTAGCATTTTTTTTTCCTTCTAAATGCGTTTTCAAACTTTATTAAAACACACACATCCAATCAATTTCAAGTTGTACAATTTTAACATCATTTGTCTCATTGATTTCATTAGGAAAAGACACATTGAAAAAAAATGAACCCTTTTACTACTACTACTCATCAATTAATTTATCAACAACCACCACACACTTCTAATAACGGATCGGTTTCTCCATCTCATTCACCTACCCGCTCACCTTCACCAACAATATCCACAGGTCAAACACCACCAAATCCAGGCTATTCACTGAACCATGGCGTCCAACAAGTTTATAACAATTCACAGCTATTCAGCTTTCAACCAAAATTACCGCCAAAAATACAACAACCTTTAAATCATGTTTTTGGTCCACCACCCCCTTTATACAATCAACATACAGTTCAACCAGGACAGTCTCTATCTTCACAATCTACTTTAGCTTTTATGCCACAAATGAACATTCCACTTTCTACAAGTGTTCTTAATCCTCTAAGCATAACCTCAGCCCATTGGCAACAACAGCTTAACTACGCTCAACTATCACGAAGGTCGTCTTCGCCTCATCATCATGCAAGGAAAGCTGCGGTGGCTGCTAGGAACAATAATAATATAGGAAGTTCTGCAATAGCAATAACAGATCCAAATAATCCAAATAAACCACCAATAAATGGATTTCTGACAAAAAGAGACATAAATGGTGATACTAATACTACTATTATTACTACCACTACTAATATTAATCATAACAATAAAAGTGATCAGCCTTTTCAACAGTGGACAACAATTGATTTAGGTGGCGTGAGGCTTAAAAATATTAGTAGAGAGCTTTTTCAGTATAATTTTCTGACCACATTGTACATAGGTTATAACGATTTAACACATATATCTCCAGAGATTGGTAAATTAAAAAATCTTATTCTATTGGATATTTCTGGTAACAAATTGGCTATTTTACCACCTGAATTAGGAATGCTGACAAGCCTCAAAAATTTATTGTTGTTTGATAATATGATTGTCACATTACCGTTTGAATTGGGAACACTTTATCAGTTAGAAATCCTTGGATTAGAGGGTAATCCAATTAACGATACTATCAAAAACTTATTACAGAAGGAAGGAACATCTTCTGTGATATCGTTTTTGAGAGATAACTGTCAAGGTATATACGCATTAATTACTGATCGATCGATCATTGATCATTAATTATTAATTGCTTGTTTTTAATGATAGTGCCACCACGACCAATGAAGCGTGAATGGATAAGGATTGAAAGCGAAAATACTGGAAGAGATCGTGGTATGTGCTAACGCGACACAAATTGAATTTTTATATTAGACTTATTTTTCACATGATATTAATTTTAACAATAATAACAACAACAATATTTTTTTTTTTGTGTTTTTTTATCGATTTCAATAATTAGGTGACATCTTCACGCTTATCTGTTATAATATTTTAGCAAGGAAGTATGCTACTACACAAACATATGGATATACACCTTCATGGGCACTTGACTGGGATTATCGAAAAGAATTAATAATTCAAGAGGTTATGACTTATGATTCAGACATTATATGCTTTCAGGTATATCACATATTATTATCATCATAAACATTATCAATAAAATTTTAAGGTGGTGAGAATATGGCCTTGTCTAAAATAAATAGATATAAAGTATTAATAAATGATAAAATTTACAGGAAGTTGATACATCACAATATGAAGAGTATTTTAGAGATTCGTTTTTTAAACTTGGAGGTTATGACAGCGTATATTGGCCAAAGTCTCGCGCAAAAACCATGTCAGATTCAGAAAGAAAATCTGTCGATGGATGTGCGACATTTTTTAAAGCTTCAAAGTATCCAATTATTATTAACGTTGTTGTTATTTTAAAAATTAAGGGTTTTTCAAAAAATATTTATTAATTTCATATATAATATTATTTATTTAGGTTTCAACTAATTGATAAACAATTAATTGAATTTAATCAAGTTGCATTACAAAGAGCAGACAAAAAAACAGAAGATATGATCAATCGTGTCATAACCAAAGATAATATTGCAATTGTGACATTACTTGAAAATAAGGAAACACATGATCTCATTATTGTGGGGAATTGTCATATTCATTGGGACCCTTTGTTTGCGGATGTAAAATTAGTACAAGTTGCAATGCTAATGGATGAATTAGACAAACTTTGTCAAAAATGGTTTAATATGTATAATAGCAACTCAAATTGGCCATCACCACATAAAATATCAACTATTATTTGTGGTGATTTTAATTCAACTCCTGATTCTGGTGTTTACGAATTTTTGTCTAGAGGTAGTATAGGGCAAGACCACACTGATTTCGGTAATCATATATACGGCTCTTTGACATCAGATGGCCTGTCTCATAAATATCCACTTAAATCCGCTTACTCTAACATCGAGGAATTGCCCTTTACCAACTTCACGCCCACATTTACCGGAGTGATAGATTATATCTGGTATAGTACAAATACATTAAATGTCACAAAACTATTAGGTGGAGTTGATGAAGAATATATATCAAAAATTGTTGGATTCCCAAATGCGCATTTTCCATCCGAGTAGGTTTATTTTTATCATTATTATTATTTGTCAAAGATTTCAGATTTACTTATTTAATTAATGGATTTTTTTCTTTTAAAATAAATTAGCCATATAATTATTTCAACTGAATTCCGTGTTAAACCACCACAAACAGTACAGCCTGCACCACAATTTAATGTTGGAGTAATTAAAAGAAAATAAAAATTGCAAAAAAAAAGGACTGAAAAATCTGTAATATAAATTATTTTTTACTATTTATTTGGAAAAAAAAGGTTTTAATTGGAAAATTTTAGACTTGAACATTTCAAAAAAAATTTTTTTCTTATATATATTTAAATATATATATATATAATTAATTAATGAATGAATTTTTTTGTCACGATATTAATGTTATTTTAAGTTAAGAAAAATTATACGATACATTTTATTTAAAAAAATAAATATTTATTAATTATTTTTTTTTCTCGATTTATAATTCAAAATTTTTTTATAAAATAGATTTTATTTCTTTTGAAATTTATTATTAATTTCATTCACTCAGACTCACAAACAATTCCATACATCATTCACATATACTTTTCTTCTCTTTTTTTTTCATGTGAATATTTGCCGATTTATTTTTTAATTAATTTATTAATTTTCTTTTTTTTTGTTTTGTAATAAACTTTATTCATAAAATTTTAATATATATTATTAAGTGATGATGATTAATAATGATTTATTAACATCAGGCAGCCCTAATGGAGAACAAATTATTAGTCATATGTAAAGTATACTTTAATCAAGCAACCCTGATTAATATCCGATTAATTAATTATCAATGATAATTGATTTACGCGCGTCTTTTTTCTAAATAAAAAGAATGCAAGCCGTAGATTTTTATTGGCCTGGGTTAAGAAAAGGACGCCACCACTCTTTATATAATTTCATTAACTTTTAGAGTCCATGAACATGATGTTATCAGGTTTGATGTCTCTATGGATTACATTATTCTCATGAAAATAAAATTAATTTGCTTCTTTAAAACAAAAGGCCGGTGAATAAAAAAAAAAATGCAAAAAGGAAAATATATACATTTACCTTTATCATTTCCATTGATAATTCTTGGATATCTTTACATTTTCATAGCGTCTGCACTTTTTTTTTCAATGTACCAAATAATCATTCTAACAAAAGACGATTAATTCTGTGTCAGGTTTAATGACCCGTCCGCCCTCTTGAAAATACCAGACATCATTTGTTGATTTTCCGTTGCTTTCCTGTTCATTTCCTTAAGAAATATAAAAAGTAATTAACAAATTATTAAAGCTTTTGAAACACCAAACAGAAAGAATCGTCGCCATCTAAGAATATATAAGTTGATCTTTTATAACTGATAAATTAAATTACTTGTATTTATTTTGATTAAAAAAAAAATATTAATTATAAAGACAAATTTATTCGCGAATAAATATATTTTAAATCTTTTAAATCTTGTTTTTTTTTTTTTAATACAAGAACGTCATGAATAATAATAATTATTAAAATTTATGACGATTATTTATATTATTATATTATTATATTATTATATTATTATATTGTTTATATTATTATAGATTAGATGTACCAGATATAAAGAACCATTTATGAACTAAATAATAATAATAATAATAATAAGAAGTTAGAATATGAATATCGAAACTAATCATTAAATATATTTGATTTGAGGAAAAAGGAAGACTTACTCGAAGCATCAACTGGTGCAGGTTCTGTGTGTGATTCACGAGGAATAGATTGGAATAAAGGATCATCAACTGATACATGACCGGGAGTTCCAAATACTGCTATATTGGCACTAAAAAAATAAATTAAATAAATATCATATCATTATTGCGCCTCGTTTAATTACTTCACGTGATAATATAACATCATACTTACGTGCTAATATTATATTTATCAGTTCTATTTGGAGTTTGACCAGAAATTAATTTACGCCAAGCCTCATGAGTTTCATGAATGATTTCGGTAGCATATTTCTATATTTATTAATTTATATAAAAACGCAAGTGAGGAAAAAGGAAAATAAAAATCGTCGACTTATAAAATACACACGAGCATATAAATATATAAATACCTTATTTTTAGCTTCACCACTAAAAGCAAATTGATTTTCTGGTTTACCATCAGGAATTTTATAAATACGGAACCATTCATTACTGGCACGAAGTAATCCAGGCAAATGTTTTTCAACATCTTCGATATCTAATTATTATATATATGCATACGTAAATGTAAATACATTTATATTGTATATATTAATTATTATGATTATCACCAATATAATTTATAAGTTACCATTTAACTTGGGAGCCAATGGATCATTAACATCAATTACGATAATTTTCCAATCAGTTTCACCTATTTAATTCATTGTTTTTTTTAAAAAAAATTATTTCTGAAAACATTTCATAATAACAAATTTAACAAAATTAAAATACCCTCATCTAAAAGTGCCATAATTCCAAGCACTTTGACTTGTTTAACTTGACCGGTATATCCAACTTGTTCGCCAATTTCACAAACATCTAATGGATCATTATCACCTCTGGCCTTAGTTTCAGGGTGAGTTTGAGATGGATCTTCCCACGTCTAAAATAATATTTGTTATTATTTTTTTTCTTTTGATGATAAAATGATTGAAAAAAAAAGAACTTTACACATATATTATTTTTAATTTATAAACCATTTCTATTTAAACTTACTTGAGGAAATGCCCCATAATTCCAGATGTAACCGTGATGTGGAAAACAATTACGAACATAGCGAAGTTTTCCTTTTTTAACATCTTGTTTTATTGGATTAAAAGGTTCATCCTTAGAAATCTAATCGATTATTTAGTTGAAAAATAAAATTAAAAATTAGTTTTGACTAATTAATTTATTAATATATATATATATTAAGATTATATTATACCTCCATTTTTGCATTTGACCATCTTGGGATTTCCACAATGAAATTCAAGAGAGTTTTATTTTCATTTGCAAACAAAGGAATATCATGGAAAGGTGAAACTACAACACCGTTATTAATATCCTCTAATAAATATCACAATATCACATAACATAATTATTAAAATTATAATTGAAATTATCAATAAATATAATAATAAGAATAAAATTCTAACCAATATAAATACGATGCTCTAAAGTATTGGGTACGTTAACGGACCGAGTTCTGTATTGAGACATTTTTTTTTGAGTAAAATTTGAAAATGGAGTAAATGAATTCTTTTTTTTTTTGAAAAAAAAAAAGTGTTAGATTTGTTTTAAATATTATTGAAATTTTTTTAGTGTAACGTTAAATATTTTGATATTTATGAAATACATGAATATTATGAACACTATGAACACTTGAAGAATCGACGAATAGGCATGAAAGACAAGAGGAAGGAAATGAAGAAACAATTGTTACCTTACTACCAGTAATAATATTCAAAGTTTTTTTTGATGCGAGATTGTTATTAAACTGTTGAAAATAAAAAATTATTATTATAATCAGGATAATCATTATTATTCATAGCATATATAATACCTTTGGAATATTATTTTTTAAAATTGTTGAAAGAAAGAACAAAGAAGCCATTTGAAAATAATACTTTTTAAAAATTTCAGATTCAGAATTATGATCTGATGATTAACCGACGAGTTCATACCGATAAGGCTATGATGATATGGGGAGCATGCTGCAACAAAAATGAACATTTGTACTACAACTAACGTATAGTGATTACTTGCAAGTACTCATATGCGACTTGCATGAGTACTCGTGGCACTCATGAGTAAGGTATGACGAAACTTAGTATTAATATAGTATGATCGTTGAAATTTTTTTTTTTTGGAAATTCGTTTCAAAGAGTCTATTGGGACACTTGTTACTATTATACCAAAAATTACTTATCGCGTTTCAACGAATTTTATGTTTTTTATACGTGAACCAAAATTCGTTATGTAAACTCGATAAGTCAGTCACTTGATAAGTCGGTTTTGGTCTAAAGAACTATCTTTATCGTTCATTTTTTATAAGAAATCATTCTCACCTGTGAACTACATTTATATTTTATTACTTCGATCAGTTATAATGCATAATCACATATCCTTTCTTTGCCATTTTTTCTTGAGTAATTTTAAAAAGAGAACTTTTTTCATTTTAATTATTTGATTATTTATCATGAATAATGCATTAATATTTTACTATCTCATCATTGAATTGTATCATTTAATAATTTAAAGAACATTCTTGTCTAATTGCGAACAATACATCTATATTTTTTATCTAATTTTTATATCATCACTTATATCATTGATTATATCGTGTGAAGAATACATTTGGATTCCTATTAAATTTTATTATGTTCAGAAATATGTACAAAATGTACAAAAAGGTTAATTTCGCAACATTTTAATGTTTGAGATAAAGATAAATAAATAAATATTTTAAAAAAAATTTTAAATTTAAAAATCACGTGAAACTCGATAAGTCGGTCATAGGGGTCCGCCGACTTATCGAGTTTACATATGTATCATTATTTTGCCATTTCTAAACCAATTTTAATGTGTCAGTCAACACTATTAGTAATTTTACGAATAATATATTTGAGCATTAACTATATTTGTTCATAATATTATCACAGTTTCAACGAATTATAATTAAATTCGCGTTACGAATTTAAAAAATTCGTTGAAACGCGACCATGTACTTTATTATTATTTATTTATTTGCTTTTCCCTTATCTTATCTAGTGAATCTAATCTTAGATCGTCCAATCGTTTCTATTGAAGAATGAAATTCAATCACACCATTATTATTGATAAAATGAAATGTGATTATTAATCAAGTCTCTTGCCTTTTTCCTGCACTCTGACCATCATTCCCACCAATCAGATCATTATTGGAAATTATTATTTGATCACACCATTAATCACAAAATCAATCAAACCACAATTTCAAACATGTCTCATATCGTCAAGAATGAAATTCATAAATGTTATTATTCAATTATTTTGTTTTCATATTATTATTAAACTGTAGTGTGAAAATTAAAGATTTTGTTCCCGGCTTAGAAAACTGAGAAATAAAATTAATATTAAAATATGATAGGTCAATATCTCCCTTGTAACAGTACTCACGAATATAGATCTTCCCATAAATGGTATAATATACAAGTATTTCTATTACAAATACTAATTATAATTCATTTGAAGAGAGAACAAGGCAAAAAAAATTGCCCTATATGTTTTCAAAATAAATAATACTCAGACCTATGAAATATCCATTAACAAATCTGGTAAGTATAATCTTAAATAAATAAAGACATTAGCAAAGATTTTTTGCTAGAGGAAGTAAAATTAAAAAGATATCTCTATTATACAAATATAACAAACTTTACTCAACTATTTTCAGTTTACTTTTTGCAAACATTTAACTAATTAATAATTAATTAGTTAAATGAATAGAAAGTAACAAATATTTGTTAACTAAATTTAGAGATAGAAAGTTTTCAGACTTTTTTTAGTAGAAAACTTCTAATTTTGTTAAAATTTTCTAATTGTGTGTTTTTAGTTCCAAAAAGGTATTATTAACAGCAATTGGGTTACGATTGATGGTTACAAAAAAGTATTAAGAATTTTAGACAAAATAATTTTCAAGGACAATGATGACAGCAATGATGAATCACAAGACACTGATTCTCTAAAGAGTAGCAGCAGTTACGAATGTTATGAAGATAGTAACAATAGTAGCAAAGAAGATGAAGATGATATGCAGAAGAGAAAAAACTTGTTAAGAAATCTGAAGAATACATGTACTCCAGGGTTGGCAAATTGACTGGTCCATTGAGAAAGATGGATTTTGGACTGGTCCATTGCAATTAATAAAATACTAAATATGGTCAAAGTGTTACACTAATGGCCCAATGGACCACCAATAGACCATCAATGGACTGCACATTTGTCAACCCTGATGTACTCATATAAATGTTTGTAAATGTAACTATTATTTTTCATTTTTGGTAACATATATAAAAATTCCACCATTTAAAAAATATTAACATTTTTTCATTTTTTAGAAAATTGTTGAGTGGAAAATTGATGGTTATGATGTGTTTAATGAAATCTTTCAAAATATTAAAAAAGATTCCATTGAGAATTTTTCACATGACTGTCCATTAATGTCATTGAATGTAGATTATAATATCAACTGGACTATTAATAGTAAAACCAGACTAATCAAAAAGTTTTATAGTTCCATTAAGAGAAATTCCATCTATGCTACCTTTACACCATCATTAGGTAATAATATATGTGAAAAACGTCTAAAATTTTTGTTGTAGGTATCTTCATATTATTATTAGTCTATATTATTAATTGCTTAATATAATTATAAATTACTAGAAATCTGAGATGGGATCTCAACCAAGTAAAAAATATACCAGCATCAAATTACAATGAGGGTACCTATGAACATGAAATTGGTTCATTTTTTGATGTTCTGTTAAATTTTAATGATGTTCAAGTAGCTTGGTAATTAAAATTTCATTGTATAAATGATACCAAATAAACTAACAATTAGTTAAGCAATTGTTTATACACAGGAATGAAGAAGAGAGCAAAGCATCAAAGGAAAGGGTGATCTCTAAAGACTAGTGCCGTAAATTATGATGATGGTAGTAATTGTATTTACAGCATATAAAAAGTGGTTGCAATTACCTTTGCGACCACTTTTGCAACCATACTTTTCCCTTTTTTGGATTACGGCACTAGTCTTTAGTGATCTCCACTACAAGTGATAGAGTATATGGTCATAAGCCTGATTTTCGGGTTTTATATTATCTTCAGTTTGAGACATATGAATTAGCATTTTGTGAAATAAGTGGAGCTCCTGAGCTTGTTGACACAAAAAAATTTAATGCTGACAAGAACAAACTATGTAGATTTGGATCAGATGCAAAGGCTAGAATGCTAAAAAAAATTTATGACATAGATAGTGGCTATTTCTACAAAAATCTTCAAAATTTGCTCAAAATTCCAATCATGTTGATACAAGTTTATTGTGAGTATTTAGCTGATAAGGATATCTAATTTCATATGTATACATGAATATTGACTTTTAACTTGAATAGGTTCAACACTGTATATATATCAATATACACAAGAAGCAATGGTCGATCTTAGAAGCAGCAATATTTATTCACCAATTGGAAGCTTTATTTTACTTGATGAAATTGAATATTTTTTTGAAAAGCAAACAGAGTTGTATCAAGTTGATTTCATCACTAAGCTATTGAAAGTAAGAGAATCAGTTAAAAAAACTTTGTCGGAGATTAAATTACACTTTAATGAAGCAACTAAGGCTCCACATGAGCCAGCTCGCAAGCCAAATAACTTAGTAGGCTCACAAGCCAGCTTGCAAGCTGAATAAGTTTTTTGGCTTGCAAGCCAGCTCGTGAGGAGCTTTAGAAGCAACTTTACAAGTAACTAAAGACTAGTGCCATAATCCAAAAAAGGAAAAAGTATGGTTGCAAAAGTGGTCGCAAAGGTAATTGTGACCACTTTTTGTATGCTGTAAATACAATTACTACCATCATCATAATTTACGGCACTAGTCTTTACAAGTAACTACACCACCTTGGCAAATAGCAAGAATTAATTACAATGTAGTATTAACTACACCAAATTAATAGATATAAAGAAAATCAAAAACCAATAAAATTGATAACTATAAAGCCACTTACAATAAAAATTAATTAACAAAAAATTGCTTTACTAAAAATAAAAAAACCACTTGACAGACTATTAATTGAATGCTTTGAAATAAAATTGCAATCAGATTGATAATTGGTTAACACGAAACTATTGGTTTGCTAATGTGAGCATGTAAATTCCAGCTACACTGACTCAACATGTCCAATAAATATGTATAAATAATATAAAGTCATATAATATATATATATATACTACCCAGGTTTTCCAAATACTCTTGAGGTGTCCCACGACTGTTCCCCTCAACCAAAAGTTGATACTCTCTAGGTGTCCCCTGACTGTTCTCCTAGACCCAATAAAATACCTCTAAGTGCCCCCTGACTGTTCTCCTAGACTAAAGAAAGAAATTAAAAGAAAATATTTACAACTATGCTACTTGAGGCGTCCCACCAAGCAACACAGTAAAGTTAAAGGGGTTCCTGACTAATGATTAAAGGTTGGCCAAACCTTTACTCATTAGAAAGGATTATAAATATAATCATACTAATATTATAATAATTAATAATAGCATATGATAAGCAAATTAATGATGATGATAAAATTAATTATAATTATTAATTTTAGAATTCATAGATAGTCATCCCTCATCTCTTGAGTGCATATATGGCAATAATAATAATAAAGATGTTAGCTAACCAACATCAAGTGATATTACAGGTTTGCACCTAGAATGTTCTGTATAGGTTGATGCATCTTTAATTACATTTTCAAGAAATACTTTCAACATGTCACTTGTTTCTTCATATAACTCCCCCATAATGTGCTAATCTTTTGATGGAGGGATCTGATAATCCTTTAATGTTGTCACTAAGTATTTTTCAATGTCATTTAGCACATCTCCTTCCAATTCTTTCCCTTTTGATTATTTATATTATTCTGTTGTAAGATTTTATGAAAATTTAATAATAAATTACCAAACAGAAAAGTTTGTTAAATGCCTGCCTCTTCTACAACATATTATCAAAAATTTGATAAGATGCATCATCACTATAAATATTATTTATTCAATATCATTAATATTTCCATTATTGTCAATATCATTATCACCATGAATATTATTTTCAATAATATTATTAATATTTCCATTATCATCAATATCATAAAAATTTTCATTATCATTAAATACCATATGGCAATGGCTATATTCTGTTACAAAAAAGTTAAAATTAAATTCAAGTTAATTTTAAAGAAAAAATGATGATGCATTCTTTAAGAAAACAAAAACATCTATCTAAATTAACAAAAATATAAAATCAATAGATTAATAAAAAATTTTGCTTAGAACTTACATCATCATTGGATGCCATGATCTTTCAATTTATTTTTTAATGATTTTTTAATTTGTTAATTGTTTTTTAATTTATCATTTATTCTTGAACATTTTTTATTCATTAATCTTGTTATAAAGAAACTAATTTTAAATTCTATTATTGGGAAGTCCAAATTAATTAAACAAAACAATCAGTATTGCTTGTTTGAAGATAATATATTATATTTAACCCAGTCTCTTTATCAAATAAAGTGCTCAAGATCTTTCCATAGACTTTCAATTTCTTTTGAATTTTTTTATCACTGGTGGGTTTGATTTTTATTGGTTATTTTATCAATTTTTTTGATTTATATCATAGAGTTGGTTATTGTATGTTTCCAATCAACAGTATGCAGGGAGGCTCACTGGTAAAAATTGTTGTTTTTTTTATTAATCATCTTTTGATAAAATAAAATATTGCAAAAATTTATTTATTGTTTAATGAAATAGAGTTACTAGTTTGCTTTTTCTTATTTTGATTATGGATGGTAGGTTAATTTAAATCTAGACCATAACTATTCTTCATGGAGTCAATTAATCAAATTTCTTTGTTTTTTTTTTTGTAAGTTACTCAATAACCATGTTTTATTATAGACTCATCCAAATTTAATTTATTCCATTCACCCCATCCATCATTACAGGATCAATCTTTCAATTTTAAAAAAGTGATAAATATATATATGGTTATAGATGTATGAAAGTAATAATTATAGTGGTTATGCTGGATATCAAAAGCAATTGATTTTTAGAGAAAAGTTGCAATTGTGGTCGCTCAGCAAGAATGAATTTGCAGAATTATATGAATCCTTTCCAAATTTGAAAAAGACATATTTTTAATAGCCCAGCTTAAAACTGTAGATGGTGGATCAATAAGCACTAACAGATGCCTTAAAAAAGAAAACTAGACCTAACAAAAGGACTTTCTATCATTGATATCACAACACACCACTTTGTCAAAAAAACCTAGGAATTGGTAGGACTTACTTTGAAAATATCAGAAATCGGACCTGATGAACAATGGCCTTCTAGCAAGAGTTCATGGCAATTTAAAGAGAATGTCTCAATGAAAAACTAAGATGATGATTGACAAAAATGTTGCAGCAGTTGTAAATAATTTTTTAGAAAATTATGCCAAGTTCATTCATGATTGCCAAGCCTAGGAAGAAGTATTTATAGAATAATAACCTAATCAGTTATATTTTTACCAGCCGAAATGAGTTATAAATGAGTATACAGAGATTTACTGGCTGGTCTGGAAGAAGATAACAAATTGAAACATAATGTATTCAGAAAGTATGACATCAATCAACACCAGAGATTCAAATTATGAGCCCAAGGACTGGCTTGCATTATAATGCTCATCAGGAGGAAGAAGCCAAAGATTTACTGAAAAGGTTTAAAGAACATCTGTCCAAAGCAAAATTATAAAGAAGCTGTTATAATAAGAACACCAAATTGATTAAAGAGCAGAGAAAACTGGTTGTTCAAAATTATTCCCAAGGTAAAACACAGTATTTCAGTGTTGATACTACTGCTCATTATAGTTATGATTAGCCCAAAATGCTCATTTACCTTATCCTGATCAACAAGTAAGTAAGATCTATCATATTAGCCCACGTAAAGTCCATTTATTTGGTATTCAAAATGAGAACAAATAAATTAATTGTGTTGTACCGCATAATATGTAATAATTTATTATATTGATCGACACAATATAGCCCAAATTTGGTAAAATACCATTACGGGACAAATTGATTTTAAACACGTTTAAAAATAAAGTATATAAGATAAAATCGGTGAAAATAAATTTCTTTTCTCTCTAAAAAAAAATAAAGATGATAACAACTAAAACGTCTTTAACGTTAACAAGTTTAATAGTATTATCATTGGTAATAATCTTCAATACGGTATATGATCCAATATCAGCTTCAATAGGGTTCTCATTACTTGGATGTGCAATAACATGGAGTCTTGTACCGATATTAAAAGATAGCTTCATAAAGGCCAATTTATTTGGCAATGATTTAAATAAACTTAATAAACCTATAATGTACGTATGTATACATATATAGAATATATTTTCTTCAATGATTGCTTGAATTTATACATAATTAACACGTAAAAAGATACAATTATTATTATTTATAGACCTGAAAGCATGGGAGTTGTATGTGCAACTGTTTATTTAATTTGTTTATTTTTATTTATTCCATTTCCATTCATGGAATGGTTTTCAGAAGATAAAGGTAAATCTTTTATAAGGTCAGAGGAATTCTCTCTCGTTCCAACATTTCCTCACCACAAGGTAATATTTATTTATATGCACACTATTTGTTTATATAATATATAACTCTAGGTAGAAATTAATTTTGTTGTTATTGAAAATGTATTAGTAGTTGGGTGAATTTCTATCAGCAATGTTGTCATTACAATCAATGATTTTCTTGGGCTTTGCAGATGATGTATTTTCTATTAGATGGAGATATAAATTGTTATTACCAGGAATAGCATCTATACCATTATTAATGGTTTATTATGTTAATTTTGGTGAAACTCATATTATCATGCCAATACCTCTAAGATTTTTATTTGGTCGATATGTTGATTTAGGTAATATTATTCTTTATAGTGAATGATTAATATTATTATTATTTAATAATTATAATGATCATGATAGCAATAAAAATAACATTATTTAAATATTCTAAAAAAATTCTTTTACATAGGAGTATTTTATTATTTATATATGAGTTTGATGTCAGTTTTTTGTACCAATTCAATTAATATATTGGCAGGTATAAATGGAGTGGAAGTAGGACAATCTTTGATTATTGCTATATCAATTGTGATCAATGATTTATTATTTATAAATGACAAAGGGAATTTAAATCAATTAAGTATTGAGGCTCATTTATTCTCTTTATATTTTATGTTACCTTTTATTGGAGTTTCTATTGGTTTATTGGTTCATAATTGGTAAGATTTTATATACAAATTTATGTGTATCTATTTATATATTATAATATCTTTAACATTGAAAAATACATTGTTTATAGGTACCCATCAAAAGTTTTTGTTGGAGATACTTTTTGTTATTTTGCAGGAATGTCATTTGCAGTAGTGGGGATATTGGGACATTTTAGTAAAACATTATTATTATTTTTTATACCACAAATATTAAATTTTTTATATTCTTTGCCACAATTATTTAAAATATTAGAGTGTCCAAGACATCGTATGCCAAAGTAAGTATATTTTTATAAACTATTATATATAAGATTATTATCATTATATATTATCAAATTTATTTATCAATCAATATTATTATGATTATTGTGTGATAGATTTAATCCATTAACAAGACAATTAGAATTTTCACGAATTAGAATACAAAAACCACTATCATTTCATACATCTTTAACAATAAAACTATTTTCATATTTAAAAATAATTAAAATAACTAATCAACTAACAAATAACACCACTACTACTCTTTCAATATCTTCTAATATAGACAACAATGATAATATAGATAATGATTATATAGAAATCAATAATTTAACATTAATTAATTTATTATTAATAAAATTAGGGCCAATGAATGAACAAAATTTAACAATTTTAGTTCTTTTAATACAAATATTATTTAATTCTTTTGGATTTTTTATTAGATATAAGTTAGTTCATTTTTTTTACGAAGTTCAATAACATCTATTTATTGTTTATTTCGTTTAAATAAATAATTTGATTTGCAAAATAAATTTTCATGATAAAAAACTTATTTTCACAATATTGGCTGTTTGTGTGATGCTGGATTGAATTTTACCAAATTTTAGTTTCTTTTTATTGCATATCAATGATTGATCAGATAATCAAGTTCATAAGAATTTAAGATTAATGTGCAAGCTCTAAAGGAAAAATGAAATACCAACTAACAAAATTTCTCTAGGATGATCAATGAATTTTTAGCAAAAGCCTTAATGCTTCACTGATATTGATGTCTTCGATCATTCATTCCTGTAAAAATAGTGGATGGTTTTTTTTGGCTACTATAGTACTAATTAAGTATGGACTTGCAAAGAAAAAAATCATGTAATATAAACAAATGCTAGCATCGTAAAAGTTTAATTAAAAAGAAAGTTCTATTCCAAAAAAAAAAAAGCCTTTAAATTTTCTATTTATATTATATGTACATTATTGTTAATAAATCATGTATTCATATTAACAAGTAAATCTTGTTACGCTAAATCAGAAAGATACAAATCCTCCCTATAACTAATTGTGGCTTCATAGAAAGTCATCATTGTTGCTGCTGCCGCCATATCCTTCCACCATTAAAATGGCAGCAGAAAGGTCAGTAAGTCTCCTTTATAAACGGATCAGGTCTCTTTCCATAAGTGTTTGCGTGCAAAAAAATGTTCCTTATGTTACGGGCAGCATTAATATCTCGATTCCAATGTGTCAGACAGAGACTCTGACAGACCATAATTTTCGATGCTTATCAAGCTACCCAACACACACAAAGAACAGATTGAGGAAGTACAGAACTCGTCACCTTGCAGTGTCTAGAAAGCTCTCGATGAAATTACCTGGAACATGCCTGTGTGATGTTGATTTACCATCGCCAAATGCAACGATCGTATCATTACCATTACTATTTGTTATTCTTTTGCACAGATATCAAAGGCCTCCTGTTTATTAATAAAAGATTTCCATCGCAAACAATGCCAGCAACATTCACCATAAAAATCAAGGCAAAACAGAACGTAAGTGAGGCAAGTGCCATATTCATAGACATTAGTAAGTTTTGTATTAGTATTAGGTGAAAGGTATGTAAACAATAATGTTCAAATATTATTCTTGTTTGATAGCAAATTAAATTAACAAAGTATAACTCATCTTGAATAACAGCCTGAAGATATTATTGTTTTCAAACCACAGTTCACGTTTTTTGCAAGCATGGGCAAACTCTGCTAAGTTCCAGTACTCCTTCCCTATAAAATTTTTTTTAGAAAATTAGTATTAGTATGGTTTTTCCATACATTTTCCGTATATCATGTACGGAATATGTACGAAATTGTACATTAAAAGAGCACTTTTCCATACATATTTGCCCTGAAAAACCATACTAATTTTTTATAGGGCTTCTAGGAACAATTCGCAACTTTTTCACTCGGAACTCACTGTTACAAACGGACCTATCCTTCCAGGATCCAGCCCAAATAATTTACGTCCATTTAAATCAATATTCGATCCTTCTTCATCAGTATCCTCTTTATTATCTTCTGCAGACTATCGGTTTGTCGATTTTGGGTGGTGACTTTACGCCAGGTTTTTCTTTCAGCTCTGGATCTTTGAATGGTTGTTAATCCTATTTTTTCAGTTGATTTGTACATGTAATATAAGTGTACTTTTGTTGTAAAAAGTATTCAGGCAGTAGTGTGAAGAGACAAGGATCATGTTCCCGGTTATGCTTGGTAAAGGTGGAAAGGATTTTGCGGAGACCTGGAAGATATGACCACCAAGATGCTTCTACGGATGCATCACCAAGAGCTTGATTTTGGAATAATGTCTGTTGCACTTTCAAGTAAATATATTGTATGTGGTAATAAAGTGAAGAAGTTATTGTAGAGAGTTTATCAATAATCCTTGAAGGAAAGGAAGAGGGATCACGATTTTTCAAGTTTAGTAATGAAATAATTTATGATAGAGTCGATGTGTTTTTGAGGTTGATGAATCTTAATAATTTATATTTTACCATCTTTTAAGTCGGTTCCGACAATTTGTAACATATTGCCATGCAGCAGAAGAGAGAAGTTGCCCTAATGATTTTTTTATTTGTCCAATCCCATTCCTCGAGGCGATATTGTGTGTAGAGTGTATCTCGGATGTTATTTATGACAGGTTCTTTGATGGTGTCGATGGTGTTTTGATATGTAGTTACAGCTTGGAAACACTACCGCATATACTTGAAAGCACCTTCGCTTGTGTTGAAAGGGAAAGACCACGTGATATATTTCTGCTTTGTTAGCCAACCAGGAGCCTTCAAGCGCTTTGGATTGGAGGTTCAAGTTCTTTATCTTTAGGAAATCTTTATAGTCCGGTTTTGACTGTGCATTGTTTGTATTTTGTGTCTTTGTCCTGAACAGATTGGATGTACAACGTCTTTGAAATTTACAACGACCGCTTGAAGAGTGCGAGTGATCGATCCCCTTACAAGGATGTTCTAGACATTTTAAAAAATGGATTGTGTTATTTCTAAAAAATAGAGGCGGAGTAAATATTTACTTGGTTTTTTGGTTGTTCTTTGTTTATGTCCTCATTTGCTTTCTTTTAGCTGAAGATTCCGCATATGGTATATCCATTTATTTCTAGATTTTTGTGGGGATATCTTCTACGTCATTATACTTCGTCATCATATAAATTAAAATGCAACCAAACAAAAAGGGTGGAATTCTTTTTAGAAAGTCGGAGTTTTTTTTTAAGATTGCTGCAACACTTTTTACATAATTTATTGGGCGGGTTAATGAACAACCAAATTAAATATTAATAATTAGTTTATGTATTAATAACAATTACGATTTATTAAACCTTCTTTCATCAGGAGTGTACATTACATAACAATTAACAGAAAAGTCTTTATTATTAACAAGTAACTTGCCGAGAAAGGTAAAGTTTCTATTTATAATACAAATTCCTATTCGTTCGTTATTATTTGAATTGTTCGTTTATTCGAATAGAAGTTTCTTATAGAAACTTCTTAGTTGTTATTATTATAGTACGGTGTTTTGCGCATGTCAATAAGTTGAAAATCGGATTTCGTTGTTATTAATGAAGAAATTTTCAATTGTTATTATTATAATTATTATAATGCAATGTTTTCAATTTCGTTGTTATTAAATTAAAGTTGTTATTGTTATATATATGTAATTAAATTTTATTGAGATATTTCCAATTGTTACAATATCGTTGTTATTGTATAATTGTATTAATATTAATATGGAATAATTAGATTTGATGTTTCAACCAATATTCATTTTTTTTTACAGAGTTGTCAGTTTTTCTAATCAATACTCATAGCTTATACTCTTCTAACAGGTCCCCGCAAACTATACAGGCTTAAATTAAAATTTTTTTGTCTAATTATAAAGGGTCAAATTATTTATTTAATGTCAATTAATTTGGTGTTAGGGGTGACAAATTTGGTTAAAAGTTATTGAACTAAGTAAAAATTTTGTTTGATGCCAGCCCAAATTATCAAGTAAAATCAATTTAATTCATTCACGAAAATTAAATCAGTACTTAAAATCTTGCTAAAATTTCTGTGCAGTCAAATAAAAAAAAAAAACTAAAAGGTAATGAAATTGAGCAAGAAATTTTTAGGATCCATATTTTGATGAATATAATAGTGAATTTTTATTCAATTGCTGACTAATAATATGAAAAATTATAAGGCCGAAAGGCTATTATTAATCTATCATGAAAATCCAAGGGACACAATAAAAATATATTTTTGTCACGAGTGATCTGCGGATCTATAAATGTATATATATAGTAAATCTTTTATGAAACCTTATAATTAAATTTTTGAATGGGGTGTTTGAACACTGAAATTCTGATTGGTTAATTTGAATTTCACATCTTAATGTTAATTGCAAACTTCATGTATATATACAACAATGTTAAAAAAAAAACAATAAAATCAGTCAATTAAATCAATTAAATTGATTGGTAAAATTTAATTTCATAGGCAGTTTCAAAATTTTTAATTATGGTCAAATCATATTCTTTTTTTTTAATATTATTGCAAATCTTAGGGTCAAGTTGTTTAAATAATATTGATTAAATAATTTAAATTCTTCTTCTACTAAATATAAAAAAGTAGTATATTAAATTTAATTTTGGTCTGGGTCATATAACAAACAGGAATTTTTGTTACTAACCCATGAAGTTTGTGGGGCCTCTTCTAGAAATTTTTAATTGAGAATAATCAAAATTAAGGATCTGCCCTTACTTTCATCAACATTCAATGTTACATGTGGCAGAGCCAATCCTTGAGTTTTATGAACATGTATTCTTGAGAGAAAATTGTTTTCTTGATGCTCCCTTACCATAAATTTCGAAATAAGATGTTTCTTTTTGAATAATAACCTTGTTTGTGCTGGTCAAGGTAGGAAAGAGGTCACCTCAACATTCTCTTTATCACAAATTTTCCAATAGTTCTATTTCATATGTTTTCATCAAATAGTTTATTATTAAGAAACATCACATGTGTACCTTCTTGTAAACACGATCCATTAAGGTAAGTTTGTCAAATTTTTGAATTAAATGGTCATTTCAAATTCCAGTGTGTCTATGCATTCAGAAACTATTGGATAATTACATGTTTCATCAAAAGGGAGGTGATTAAAGAATATTCGAGTACCAATTATATGTGCGGTATCATAGAAACTACAAAAGTCAGTTTCTTGGTTAATTTTCGCTTGGATCATTTGTTTGCCTCTAACAGACAAATTCCTGTCCTTATCTCTTGGAGGATCATGTAAAACTCAATGTCATTTATCTGCCTTTGTGACATAATCAAGAACAGCGGGAAAATTTTTTCCGAGATGGTGATCTAAAGACTTTGAGAAGGATGAACCGAGGAAGCTGAGCTAGATATTCTACAACAAGTGTTGGTATTCTCCAAAGATAAGATTTTTTTTATGAATTTTAGCAAAGATGTTGCCAAAAAATGTGAAAATGTCACTATCAACCATCAATATTCATAATTACAATTGCTTGATGGATCAGTTTGGTTTGGTTCAAGTTCAACTGAATCCTCAACTTGAACAAACTTAACTACTTTTTTTTGAATCTGAACACATATATAACATTTGAGATCATGAACTTTAAGCCGAACTTGAACCAAACTCATGGGTATGTGGTTCAGGTTCAACCTAATAGATGTTTAGAAAAAAAATATTACAAGAAAATTTATACACGACAATTTGTTGTGAGAAGATGATACATTAGTACACAGTGAGTCTCGGTATAAAGGATATGTTTATTCCAGGAAATTTATCTGCTAAACAGAGAGATATCCGTAAATAGAATTTTTTGATTAAATCATGTGATGCATGTTACAATAAAAAATAAATTTTATGAATGCAAATAATAATAATAATAATAATAAAAATACAGTTGGTAAAACTTTGACATTATAATAATCTTCTATTCTTGTTTGCACTTGTTCTTGAGAATTTTTGTTTTTGCTGTACATACTTAAATGCAGTTTCCAGAACTTTTATAGCTTCTATATTCGTGATCATTGGCTTAGGTTCATTTGTTTCATCATTGTCATCACCAACTTCACTTTGTCCTTTTACAATATTTACAATTTCATGTGTTGTCATTTCTTCTTAACAAAAGATTTTGGTCTTGAAAGGAAAGTTGAATGATCAAACTGTTTATTTCATTTGCTTAATAACATTCCGTTTATTTTACATTTATGTTAATATTAATAATCGCGTCATTACTCTTATTAGCCCAAATAAAGTAGTCAGGGAGATTTCCAAATTTGGAAGTTTATTCTGAAATTCGAACATATTGAAAACCATTTTTTTAAAATTCATTGAATAATTCAACTTTACATTCTAGTTTTTTTTCTTACATATAGGGGACTATTGTCTAAAATTCCATTTATTTATTTATTTTTGTTTGATTATATGATTATGTTAGTGATTGCAAACACCAGACCGCCATCTATCATGTTTACATTGCCGATTATTTACTTTGATTTATGCTTTACAAAATTTAAATGATGTAACAAATTCTCAATAGTTTATTCATTTTTATTTAACTTTTTATGGTTTTGATCATATTATAACAATTTTATAAATTAAGATATTATTTATTAATTTTTAATAACAAAAATAGAGAACCCTTATTAAAAACATAAGTTTAGAAGTTGTATGACTCTTTTTTCGATACACTTAATCCATGTAGATCGTAGATTGTCATCCATTTTTAAACTTCTATATATGGGATTTTATAAAAATAGCATGGCGGCATTTTGATATAAATTTTATCAAAAAAGGAAAATTTCATTGACCCGAACAAAATACAAAATTTCGGTTATAAAAAAAATATCCAAAAAACGTCAATTAAATTTTTTCATACAAACGTTGTTCTATAAACAGAGTTTAGTTCAGCAAGCAATTGATCTGTTATTCTTATAATGAAGTTTTAACTAAATGTGGAATTTGTACTTTACTAAAGTAAAAAAACATGGGTTGAATTGTTTAATTAGTCTATTTACACAATATTTTAATCGATTATAAAAAAACGTACAAGTTCACCAAGCAGATTTTTAATTTATTTAATGATAAGAAATAATGTACAAGTAAGAAAATATCCGCCCAGAATGTCAATTTATGTAAATTTTTATAAAAGTATGTCACCGACTTATATTTGGATCTAGAAGAAACTTACTCTTGTTGATAATTTCGCATTACAAAAAGGTTTTAGTTATAGGATTAGATTAAATGAATCTGAAGATGGTATATTAATATGAATGCACGAAATCGGGTAAACGCAGCCACAAATTATAACAAATCCTATGAAATTCATTTCTAGTATGTTCATTGCATGTCAAGTCGAATAGTGAGTGTGATGAAACTAATTTTTTTGTCCATGTACACAATCATTCTTTGAACATGATGATGATGACAATGAAATTTCGAAAACTCATCCTGTGGTTAAAGGGAGCTTTGATTTACCCATTGTTGGTTAATTGCTGATTTATGAATGAGTCAAAAGATTTTATTGTGATGGATTTACTATACATTTTGGGAATTAGATAAGATTGTATTTTGATTTACAATTACTAAATTTAAAGCCTTTGTTATAAATATAATCCTTGATATGTATAATAACTATAGAATTCTCATCTCCTGTATTCTTATTCTGTTATTTTAATAATTATTTGCGCCTAAATCTTCTCATGTAACATGTGTTTACTAAAATTTTATATTACGTGAAACCATGTGCGCATTTTATTATTATCATCATATGAATGGGTGGAGGCAGTGCAGAAACATTTATATCTAAGCTTGGGACAAGACATATGATGCACTTATGGAGATGATGCATTTATGACCAAGTTGGCTTATACCATAATGCTAAATTGCTGTAATTCACGAATTTTGACGGTACGATACATTAATTACATCAAAGTAAAAAATAAAAAATTTATAAATAATATTTTTTTTAAAAAATAAGATGTGTCTCAAAAATTCAGGATTATGATAATCTTTATTTTACAAACATTTATATAAATGCACATGTTCTTCAAACCTTTTAATAACTCCTTCCTCCTCTTCAGTATTATCCTCATTGTACCTTATAAATAATATCTATGATTTGTTCTAATCTTACTACTACTACTGATATTTACAAATTTGTTTACATTTAGAAACATTTTTGTCTGTTCTTGTACATACATCTGAATTTATGGATTAGGTGACATATTTAGGTATGAATGTGTGTCATTTAAAATTTGGATTTTATCGATTAATTTGTAAAATGAAATCAGAATTGTTTAAAAAAAAAAAAAAAAAAAGCTTTAACAATGGGTTGTTGACCTTTATTTAACTAAAAAGGCGCACTTTACAAATATTTACTGCACAAGTCAAATTTTGATTTTTCGCCTGTGCTAAGTTTAGTATTAGAGGCGCCAGGTTTATAAACAAAAAACTTTATTCAATTCTATAATAAAATTTATAATTTTTATTTTATCAATTTACCAAATTCTTTGCCTTCTCTAAAATTTTCTCTAAAAAAAAAATGATTATTATTTGCTAACTTTATATTGATCTCTTGCAAAAAACTAATTGTTAATGAAAATCCTCCTACATGTTTGCAAGTAATACAAAATAATTTTGCATAATTATAATTTGCACAATTGCTGATGGTCCAATTATTAATTGATAATATTAAAAAAAAACTGCTTTGTTCGGGATAAGGGTTATTCCGATATGAATTATTTGAATAATAATTAGATAACAACAAAATCCTCTTCAAGATAAAAAAATTAAAAAAAAAAAAAAAAATAGTCTACATAAAAATAATAATCACAAAAGGAATTTAAATTTCAATAGGCCGATTCATCCCCCCAATTTCGGAAAATGTAAAGAAAATTCCATTTTTCCGCATTAAAAAAAAAAAAAAGTTTTTTTTTTAGCAAATTCCGTGTTGGTATTAATATGTACTTTGTTTACCCAGTATTTACGGAATTTGTTTTTTCTTTCCCCAAAGGTACACTTTCATATATAAACTTACAGCATTAACTGGTTTCTCTAAATAAAACTTCTCGGACAAATTTCATTGTTTACAGAAAGCCTGTTTGACTCGATTAGTCGTGTATTTAACTAGTAAATATTTACATGTCGGCCTAGGAAGCTAGGATTTTGTTCCGTCATTCAGATATGATACATGGTAAAAAAAATAAAAAAAATATATTGATAAGATATGATGATAACATATGTTTATTATCATCTATTGATTTGTAGAACCAACCAACAGCTTATCAAAGAAACTATTTCAATGAATGATTTTATAATTTTAAAATAATGCGAGTTGATTTTCCAACAGCATTTTTTGTTGAATGGAGCAATGAACTCTGATGAATTAGAATGGACGAGATTTTGTATAATTAGAAAAAAAACAACGTTTTTTTTAGAAACAAATAGTGTCACACAATGTTAGATTATGCTACTAATAAATTACAAGGTATACATTCTTATTAGTGACTTGATTTCAACTAAAACCCTTCATTCATCCAATTGTGCACCAGACTATCCAAATAATGGTTATAAATCTGTAAAATCTTTTGAGGAATATATATATTTCACTTTGATTTTCTCGAAGTCTTTTTTCGTCGTGAGATCTTGGATATGTGTGTGTGTGTGTGTGTGTGTGTGTGTATACCTTTTAATGTCACATTTTCGATTTATTCACATGTTCCAAAAAAAATTTGAAGTAACCAGTAAATGAATTCAAATCAAAACTACATCTTTCGTTACTCAAGTAAGCATCCCTTCGATGAAAAATCAATTTATATATGTAATAAATGTGTGAATGAGTAAGATACATGAATAGGAAAAACAATTGCTCTTACGCGAATGAAGTCACGGTGCAGTAATTATGGCATCATCCTAATACTATGTCCTTTGAATAATTCATTTCACGGCAAAAAATGCAAGTTGAAGTTCCTAAGAAAATTAATTAATTCATTTTTTATTATTTTTATTATTCATAAGCCTATATGAAGAAAATTTTACAGAAAGTTTATTTATAGTTTATAGAAAATAGACTTGCTTAGACTTTCCCTGCAAGAATTCGAAAGTATTTATTTAAGACTTTCTTTCTTGTAAACGTTTTTCCAAGAAATTAAACCTTCTTAACATTTTTTTCATAGGATAGTTGGTATAGAATAAGTCCAAATCTCAATCGTCGGTTTTCACTCACAATCAACAAATTTCTAAATAAATAAACAAGATCCTGGTTATTAAGAAAATTACTTGTTCTATCCAAGTTTGGCTAATGTGATTATCAAATGTTCTGAAGAGAACATCTTAAATTTCAAGATACAATGAGCTTACTATATAAAAATGGGTTATCTTTCCGGTTATCCCAAACGCCTGAATGATTAATTTCAGTAAGCACTAAAAGTAATATTTAACCAACTCGAGTTACTACAATAAAGTACATTCCCAAGCCATATTACTTCATTATGTCGGAAATGACTCGCCATATATATTAATATATTTTACTATTACGTATTGCATACGTCAATGCTAAGGCCGAAAATGAAATTTAACAATAGGGAATAAATAATAGTTTCAATCGTGAAACCGAGACTCCTCGGAATTGTTATATCCAAGTTGGTTGTCTTTAAGGAACAATTCTATTTAAAATTGTTTGGTTTGGTATTAAAACAAAGTATATTTCGTGTAACCTAAAATTTACTATATATAAAAAAGATAAAAGCCAACAACAAGAAAAAAAAAAAAATTATAAATTTTTTTTCATAACTAAAATAACAAAGAGACAATAAATAACTTAACTAATCTGGAACAAATAGAAGTATTATAATCCAGGTGTGTAATTTATATATTATTTATATATTATTTATTGATGATACACAAATCATCAATAATAATAAACCTTAATATAATGATGCATATTTAATTTATATTTCTTCAGGTCTCTTAAAAAAAACCCCCCTTTACAATTTACGCGTTAAATTTTTCTTCTAGAGAATAATTATCCTTTAGAAATTGAATTACACTCATATACACAAGTACGTATCGATATTGTAAACATTATAGAAATAAGTTTAATTGAAAAAAATTAAAATAAAATAAATGAGTGCTGGACAGGACAAAAGTAATATGGACAATAATATAGACATTGTAAAAAATGAAAAACAAATTGCAACATCATCAAATTCTTTAACAGACATTTTTGATACTACAAACAATACGAATACACCCAGAATAAATACTGATAGTATAATTATAGACAATATAGACAATACTCAAAATTCTCCCGCTGACTCCACTTCAAAAACTTTAACTCCCACTTCGAAAGCTCTTACCCCATTCACTTCCACAGTAGATAACACCTCGAGACAAATAAGTTCTGCATCAACGATAGCTGGTGAAGTTGAGGATGAAGACCATAAAAAATCAATAAAAAAAAATAACAACAATAACAGCAGTAACAACGACAACGACAATCACAACGACAACCACAACCGCAACCATAATAGTAATCATGATGACAACGGTAACGACAATAATTATCATTCATCATCAGATGCTGTTAAACCTTCTCGACAACCTTTTTCTTTCGCTCCTTACCTACTTTCTCCTTTATTCGATCCAAAAAATTTGAGATTACTAAAAATTTTTGGTGGAACTGATGGTATAATAAAAGGTTTACACACAAATATTGAAACCGGTCTAAGTAGTGATGAAATGGCTCCTCTAGATGAAATATCACTAGATGAAATATCAGACATCGCAAATGAAGATGACACCGAATATTTAGAGAGAATTAAATCTAAAAAATCTACCGCCGCTCCTATAATAATAACTGGTCAACAACCTGTTGATAGCTCTCCTTTCTATCAAAGAAAAATGGCTTTTGGTACTAATGTCTTGCCCGAAAGAAAACCAAAATCTATATTTGTGTTAATGTGGATGGCCTTGCAAGAAAAGATTTTGGTCCTGTTGACTATTGCTGCAATCATTTCACTAGGTCTTGGTTTGTACGAGGATCTCCGTCCAAATGCTGACCCAAATAAGCCAAAAGTAAGTTGGGTGGAAGGTGTTGCTATAATTGTTGCTATCATGATAGTTGTCTTGGTCGGAAGTATAAATGATTGGCAGAAAGAACGTCAATTCCAGAAATTAAATGCTAAAAAAGAAGATCGTCATGTAAAAGCTACAAGAAATGGCAAGGAATTCTTATTGTCTGTTCATGATATTTTAGTTGGTGACATACTACATTTAGAACCTGGTGATATAATAGCTGCTGATGGTATATTGGTATCAGGTCATAACCTTCGATGTGACGAGTCTGCAGCAACAGGTGAAAGTGACGCTGTAAAGAAAATCAAATACGAAAATATCAATAACCAATTATCGTCCGGATCAACAAGCAATCAACCTCATCTAAATACAACCCACATAAAAGCTGATCCTTTTATAATCAGTGGAAGCAAGGTTATAGAGGGTGTGGGGTCTTATGTTGTCACTTGTGTTGGTGCGAATTCTTACCATGGTCGTACAATGATGTCCCTTAGATCGGAACCAGAAGACACTCCACTTCAAATCAAATTAAATGATCTTGCTGAAAAAATCGCCAAACTTGGTGGTGCTGCTGCGTTACTTATGCTCATGGTTTTATTAATAGAATATTTTGTTACATTTCGTAATGGAGCTCCTGGCACTGCTTCTGAAATTTTAGAAAGTTTGACTACAATCTTTATATCTGCTGTGACTGTGGTGGTGGTTGCCGTACCAGAAGGTTTACCATTAGCTGTAACTTTAGGTAAATTCATCAATGATAATAATGATGATGATAAAATTTTAATTATTTTATTATTTTATTATTTTAATAATTATAAATTTTAATTATTTTATTATTTTAACAACTAATTAATAATAGCACTTGCTTATGCAACAACGCGCATGCTTAAGGATAATAATCTTGTTCGTGTTTTAGCCGCTTGCGAAACAATGGGAAACGCTACCATTATATGTTCAGACAAAACTGGAACATTAACTCAAAACAAAATGACTGTAGTTGCTGGAACAATTGGTTTATCAAAGTCTTTTGTAAGGGATGTCGATGTCACACGTAGGAATTCCCCTTCTCAAAAAATACCAAAAACGCTAGAAAATCCTATCCTTTTAAAAGATTTGGCAAAAGAATTACCCGCCGACTCGCTTAAATTATTAGAAGAATCAATAGCTATAAATTCAACGGCATTTGAAGGTGAAAAGTTGGAGGATGGTAAAATTAATTTTGTCGGTTCAAAAACTGATACTGCTTTATTGAGTCTTCTTTTCGATTTAAATCTGGAAAACTATAAATCATTAAGAGAGTCTGCTAAAATTCAACAGCTTTACCCATTTAGTTCTGAGCGGAAAGCGATGGGTATAGTGGTAAAACTGAAAAATAATAAATTTAGGTTCTTAGTAAAAGGTGCCAGTGAAGTTTTGCTTAAAAAAGCAACAAAAATAATCGAATCAACTGATAAATTAGCATTTGATAGTAATGCCGATGTGGTCGATTTATCAGAAGAGGATAATAAGACGCTTCATAAAATAATAGATCATTATGCTGGTCAAAGTTTAAGGACTATTGCTATAGCTTATCGCGATTTTGATGAATGGCCACCAAAAAATACGATTGTTGATGACGGGGGCGAAGTTAAATTTGAAGATTTGGCTGAGAATGTAACATTGATAGGCATAATGGGTATTGAGGATCCGTTAAGAGTTGGTGTAAAAGAAGCTGTCTTGGATTGTAAAAAGGCAGGTGTGAGAGTTTGTATGGTGACTGGTGACAATCTTCTAACAGCAAAATCTATTGCAGCTCAATGTGATATATATACTAATGGTAAAGTTATGGAGGGTCCAGTGTTTCGTGAACTTTCACCTGAGGAAATGGACAATGTCATACCAAGATTACAGGTTCTTGCAAGATCTAGTCCCGAAGATAAAAAAATTTTAGTTAGTCGTTTAAGAGAAATGGGTGAAGTAGTTGCTGTTACTGGTGATGGTACAAATGATGGACCTGCTCTTAAAGCAGCTGATGTTGGTTTCTCAATGGGCATTGCTGGTACCGAGGTAGCAAAGGAAGCATCTTCAATTATTTTAATGGATGATAATTTTGCAAGTATAGTCAAAGCCATTATGTGGGGAAGGTGTGTAAATGATTCCGTGAAAAAATTCTTACAATTTCAATTGACAGTCAATGTCACAGCAGTAGTCTTGACATTTGTATCTGCTGTGTCAAGCGGCAGTCAAGAGTCTGTTCTTACCGCCGTACAATTATTATGGGTTAATCTTATCATGGATACCCTTGCCGCACTTGCACTTGCTACAGACCCACCAACACCTGAATTATTAGATCGTGATCCTGAACCTAAAACTGCACCTCTTATAACTTTCGATATGTGGAAAATGATACTCGGTCAAAGTCTTTTTCAATTGGTGGTAACATTTGTTTTACTATATGCTGGCAATAATATCTTAAATTATGATGACTTAGTGGATAAAGATGCAGCTAAATTGAGATTGGATACTGTTATATTTAATACTTTTGTTTTCTTGCAAATTTTTAATGAACTCAAGTAAGTAAAAAAATTTTTTGATAAAAATTTTTTAAAAAAATAATTACATTACTAATCGTTTTGCCTTTCCTCTTTCATTTCTTTCCTTTTGTAGTTGTCGTCGTTTAAATCATAAGTTGAATATATTCAAAAATATAACAGCAAATAAATTTTTAATTGTCATATTTTTCATAACGGTTGTTGGACAAATACTTATAGTTGAATTCGGTAGTGTGGCATTTCATACTACCCATCTTAATATATATGAATGGTTATTGTGTATAATAGTTGGATTTATGTCAATACCATTTGGAGTTGTAATTCGATTAATACCCAATGAATTTTTCATGTGTTATACCAAACCTGACAGCACAAAGACAGTTGCGTCAATCAACAGGAATTCAATGTATTCACCTCATACTCTGGTTGGAGCTGATCAGAAAGAATGGAATGAAGCAGTTCTTAAGGTCCAAAATCAGTTGGGAGTTTTCAAGGCACTTCGTGGTGGTAGATTCAAAGCCCATTTTGGAGATCGTAAAGAGAAACAAGTTACAAGATCAAACGCCTTTGCGGCAGCTACAATGGTTCCAAGTTTGATATCTGCATCAGTTGGAGCAGGATGGGCACCGATACAAATTATTGATAACGGTAATGGTGGTAGGGAACCAAGTATCACACAATTGGATTTAGCTGCTCTAAGATCAAGATCAAGGAATCAATCTTTTCAAGATAGCAGAAATGGATCTCCTAGAAGTAATTCATTTGCCAAAAGTCCTACTAGTAATAATGGTGTTGGTTTAGATAACGTATGATTTTAAAGATGGTAGAAAAAGAAAAAAAAGAAATAAGCAGTTTAATATTTAAAAATTCGTGTTTGAGATAGAATGTTGTTTCCGAAATCAAGGTTAAGTGATATTGCTTTTTTTATTGGTCTATCCGGTATGAGGTTAACACGCTACACGTTATGGCTCCCTACTCTTAAAAGAAAAGTACAATATATGTATATAATTTTTTTTTCTTAAAATTAAAAACAACTTTGACAAAATCAAAAACTCTCATTTTTAATAATTAATATCTTTAGAATAAAATAAAAATTAATTAATAAAAAATTAATTAATAATAATAATAATTGTGAAAATCAATAGAATGAAATTTTTTATATATAATAAAATCAAAATTATGCTTTATTAATAACAAACATAGTAATAGTTGTGAAAGTCGATATAAATAAAAACCTTTGAAAATATTTTGTGATATCAAAAACAAATGTATTAAAAAGCACCAAGTAATTATGTTAAAAGGATGAACCAAGAAGGCAATAACTTTTATGATTCAAAAATTACCAACATCAATTATATTTAAGTTGTGAAGGTGAGTAGAGATCTGATAAATAATAGTTTTATTTTTTCTAAACTCTCATTATAATTCTCTGTATAAATTTGAGTTTGTTATAATTAACTCCAGAATTTTAAAAAATTTGAGCAGTGAACTGACTCTGATGTACAGTCTACATTGTCTATAACGGATTAAAAGTTTGGTTCCGATTTTTTACTATTTGAAATCTATTTCTATAACGGACGGATATTGTTAATTAAACTTTTTATTATGCATAACGGATTGTATATGAAAATCACCTCATATATCATACGGCTTACATAAATCAACACTGCCTATAACGGATTCACGTGATCTGAAATAAAATGCAGTTCGTGTTTCGCCAACTATGTGTCCTCAAAATGGATTAAAACCACAACGCATATCAACACATACAGAAACATAGTAATTTTTATTCTAGTATATATTATGGATATTATTTATATATAACAAATAATAAGAGCTTTAATAAAAAAATGGATTTTGATAATAATAAAAAGAATAAAAGATAATGACCGACATATTTATATTAAATATAAAAAAACTAAGCTTTAGGCAGAAAATTTATTGTTTAAAAGGTTTTTCGTATATTCCATATGTTTAGCACAAAACAAAAACAAAAAATAAATTTTCTCTATGCTTTTTAATACTTCAATTTTATATGTAAAAAATCCTTGGAATCTGGCGATGCCAATATAAAAGTTAGAAAAAACAAAAGGTTATAATACTTTTTTATATTTTCGGAATCTTTGAGATTTATTCTACCGAATAAAAAAAAAGTTATGAAAAAAAAATTTTGCTACAGTGCGGATCATCTATACTCAAAAGTTAAAATTTTTTAAAATATTATGTGATCCACACATCGGATTCCACCATTATTCAATTCAGCTTTAAAAAGGGAGTCTATTAATCTAAAAAAAAAATTGTCTCGAATTTTCTTTTCATAGATTTTTTAAATTTGAAAGTTATGCTCAGAAATACAGCTCGAGTCATCTAAAACCGACCAAATTTTATGCGGTATTTTTGAAGCCTATCATCACATGGACACACAGAGCACTTTTGGATTCAATCTCCTCATAATTTTATACAGTAAATGACAAAGAATAATTATATGAAAAGTTTTGGGTTGAACAATTATAATTAAAAAGTCATGGCAATTTTAATTTGAGTGACTATCTACATGTTTAAATAGTGATTGACCTGAATTTTGCCACATTACACACATTGTAAATAATTGATAAAGGACGAACCATTAACAAGCTTGCCATTTGTTCATTTCTTCTTATTGAGTATGCCACCACTTACAAAAGGCAGAAACATTTAAAAAATTTGTCTCTAAGAAAAAAAGTCTTTTCGAAAGTTGTTCTTCATAATAACGAGAATAAAAATGAAAATGAAAATGAAAATGAAAATGAAAATGAAAATGATAATGATAATGAAGATAATGAAGATAATGAATCAAGTAACAACAGTGACAATGAATCAATTAATGAAAATGAAAATGAATCAAGTAACGAATCAATTAATGAAAGTGATGATGAATCAAATAGTGATAGTGATAGTGATAGTGATAGTGAAGATCCTAATTGCAGTTATTTTGTGAAAGTCCTTCAAAATGGAATAAAATAATTATAAGCCTTCTGCACGTCGTTCTATCTACTTGGGAAATCTACCACGAACTAGGCGACTTCATGCTGCACAAGCTAAAAAAACATCTGAAGATAATGGACAAATGGTTTACAAAAAATTGTTCCCGAGGCTTTGGATGCAGTTTCTCTTGAAAAAATTAGAAATTTTGCAAATAAACCTTAAATATATGGAATGTTATAGACAAGGATTAGATGTAAAACAGGCCGAATATGCCTTTAAAAAATACAAACGTCATCGTATTATTCCAAGTAATATTTTAAATAATTTAGATTAGTATTAAATTTAATTTTGCCGCTGATTGACAAAAGTAATATGTTCGTTAAACTTTTTTGTTAATAAAAAAAAGAAATAAATAAATCAAATGAATCAAATGTATGTTGTAGAAAATATTCTATGAGAAAAAAGTTGTTGCACGAGATTTACTCAGTCTCAATTTCTTAAGTGTATAACAAAATTCGGACTTTTCAAAATGCTAAGGCTCGGCCAATTTTCAGTTTAAGAAAAAACCTGCCGATAAGTTTTGAAGAACAATAAAATTTATCGGTTAAATTTTTTAAAATGAAGTTGACCAATTGTTATTATAAGCAATTAATGATTATAGATGATTGATTATCTCTGCAATTTTATAATAGTAATAGATTTCTACACATGATCGGCGAAGCACGAATTAATAATATTATTATTATTAATAAAAATTACTAATCGCAAAATAAAAAAATCTATAAAAATCCAACAAAACAATTAAAACAATTATTGAAATAAACGATAATTTCTATGTCGAATTTCAATAAAGAAAATCAGGATGAAGAAGACATCGAAGAGACATCTCCTATTTCAAGTCAAGATGCCTTATTGGCTATTGAAAAGGTAAACTTATTTGTTGAACAACAGTTTAAGGAATTTACAATGAGGGATTGAAAATGTCAAAAAGAAAATAGAAAAATAGAATTCAATTCAACAAATCACTTTAAATATTAGTATTGAATAATATTTTCCTTTTTTAAATAACAAAAATTTTTTATTGACTTAATGTAGTAGTAGTACAATTTTCTATACCGGATTCTCTCTCCAATGATCCGTGGACTGTAATCGTGTCAACAAATCTCTGTACAACACCAAGTGCCAATAATAAATAATTAATGTGCACGCGTCGATCAAATCAATAATTCTTTCCTTTTATATTTATAAACATGCCAGTAAAAGAAAAGAACCCAGAGAAAGACGCGAATAAGTGTTTTAAGAATGGTGATGGTCGTCGTCACTCTAGTTGTTATTAAAAGAATGGTTGCGATCCTTGCAACTTGTCGTCATTCTAGTTTATATGACGACTGGATTAATATTCACTTCCTCGGGGAATGTTGGTGGACTGGAGAGGAGGGTAAAACACAGTATCCAGTTCTTTCAAAATACAACAAACATAAAATGGCCTATATGGGCGGGATATAATGAATATTTGATGAAGGAGCATGACAAGGTTTTATATTCATGGTTGGAAGTTGAATGCGAATCATGTAACAATACGATATAGAATATTTTACGCATACAGTCTGCCCTTGTTTCAACGAAGTGGCTGGACATATAAGAAAAATTTATTCAACATTCGTTGAAACAAGATTACTAATCGCGTTTCAACGAATTTTTATATGTTTTCATAATGTGTAACAACGTTTTTAAAAATTCGTTGTATCAAAAATTTAACTATACTTCGTTGAAACAAGGGTTTACTGTACATAAATTTACAAGAGGCTTTTTTATAAAATATCTTTATAATAATAATATAATCGTAATTATAATCGTAATTTAATGGTGGAACTGTTTCTGATATCGGTGGAATGTACATTTGTAAAACGGAAAGCGTGTAAATAATTGAAATAATATTTATTATTATCTTTTGTGACTGTAATTGAAAAACAAAAGATTTTACAATCATAATAAAGAAAAATTTTATGCAAAATATACAAAATACATTTAATTGATTATTAATATTGTTGGCATTTTCTAATGTTAAAGTTTGGACATTTGTTTGTTTCCTTAAATCCCATATTTTAATCAAATTATCTTCTGAACTTCTGAAAATAACAATAATTTAACTTTTCCTGTGTGTCCTCCTAAATTCTAACAGTTGAATCATTTGTACCTGTTTCTTAATGTAAATTATACATTGTGTTTCAAAAAAAAGGGTGCGCACAAAAAATCACATATCTCAACTACAAAGATATTACTTTCCCAAGACCAATCTATACTAGCAATGAATAAAATATAATCACCTCTATGACTTTCATTATTTGTTAATTTGTCCCTTACTGTCATTATGTTTAATATGCTTAATCTTTTGTTAAATATTGTTAGCTTTTTCCACATTTAAAGTAAAAAAGTACTAAAATAATTTTATACTTAATATGCCCTCATAAAAAGTGATATAAGTATATATTAAAAGAATAAATAAAAAAAGGAACAAACAAAAAAATCATGACAAACATCCTAAAAGAACAACAACAAGCAAATAAAGAGCTACTAAATGAAATCAAAACATTAAAAAAGCAATTAACTGATAAAGAAGAGAATTTTAAACTGAGAATTTGTTCAGCTTTAAGAATCTTAGAAAGATCCACTTGACCTACCAATGGTTGATTAAGTTATCCTGAAAAGAGTGGAATTGAAATTGGAAGTGTTGTTTTTAACAATGAATTCACTCCTGAAAACATTGTTAAAAGTTTTGGAGATGAAGCATGAAGTTATGAGCAAGTTTTTAGTTTTACTTATCAAGAAAAAGAAGAACTAAAAGAAA